AATGTACACAGGTCACTGTTTGCGACGTAGTTCGGCAACTTTTCTTGTAGATGCAGGTGCAGATATGATAACATTGAAAAGACATGGAAAATGGAAGAGTGATACTGTAGCATCAGGATATGTAGAAGATTAGAAGATAGCATAACGTCCAAGAACAAAATATCTCGCTTAATAGCAGGAGTCGAAAGAACAATTTTCCTGAATTGATTGTGAGGGAAAATAAACAACATTTATTTGATGGCAAAGAGAATCTAGGTGGTGTTTTTGGTGTTATTGTTAAAGGTTCCATCTCAAATTGTACTTTCGTTTTTAAAGACGGTTGGAAATTATTTTTGTTATTAATTTAAAGCAAATTATTGTTATATATCAATATATTAAAGTTAATAAACTTTGTGCTTTCATTTGTCTGCTTCATTTATACAGGGCACATTTATTATTCTACTGTTGCAGAAAAAAAAGGGTACAAAATAGGGTCAAAATGCGGGGGATAATATTTAGATCCACTTATTTCGCCCTAGAGTGATATGACGTTGTTTTCCTATTCCGTTTCCTAGTAATAAACAAGCTATATCGCCTAACAGGCGATATAAAAAAATATTGTAAAATTTAAACTTAAAAATAAAAACAGTATCGAAATATATAGTCCAGTTACGCAGGGTTTTTACTTCCGAATTTTTTATAACTGAACCGATTGACGTGAAATTTGGACTGAATGTGGGGAATGCCTCAAGGAACAAAGCTTATATAGTGGCGAAGTGTGCTTTTGCCCTGGGGATGGTTCCCACCCCATCTTGGGGGGTGGAAATTTTTACGCCCAAAATAACCACAGGAATCGATAGAGGAGTCAATTTTAAGTAACAAATGTTATATAAAGATTTTTGGATAATCCAATACTTTCCGAGTAATTCGTCATTGAAAATGTTGATTTTTTACTGAAAAAGTGCTTGTTTTTTGGACAGTTTTTTGCAAATAACTGTGAAATCATTGGATTTATCGAAAAAGTTGTAATGAACAAAAAGAAAGGTAATAAAAAACAACTCTAATGGCATTATTTTGTTTTTTTCTAATTGGAATATAAACCGAGTTGTGGATATTTAAAAATTATTATATGTTAGCTAAAAACTAAATTGGAACCAGTTAACGTTAAATAACGCCAAAACCATAAATATTAGGAAAAAACTATTTGAACCTTTTATAAAGTACTTTGAAAAACCTTTAAAATGAGCTGTTTTAAAAGTCTTTAGAGTAAAAATTAATGGAAATATGATCGAACTAACATGATAGTCTCATTTTTTTAAGAAAAAATTAATGAACATATCAGTGCCTTTGGCGACAGAATTAAAATTAAATGCAATCCATTTACAGATTTCTTCATTTATGATCTAAGAATATGTTCTGGGTCTTTGGCTCACTTACAAAGCATGATTTTGAAAAAACTTAATTTTTGAAAATGTTAATTATTCAAATTTTTTTAAAAAAATCGATTTTTACGTTGTAACTTAAAAATTAAAGGGTGTACGAAAAATATTACAAGAGTAAAAAAATTTAGCTTTATTTTTGCTGAAGATTTCTCTCAAATTAATATTAATCGACAATTGAGATATCGCCATTTTAAGTTATCATATGAATGAGAGACCCACCCTTTTCGAGGCTTTTAAACCCTTAAAACTTAAAAATGAAGTGCTTAAAAAAGATCAACCTAACAGTTCACGTAGCCCTTACAATTCCCTGCAAAATTAGCCTTTGTGCGATTAAAATTCTTAAAAAATAAGAAAGTTATCTTCAAACAAAATAAACACGTGTATAGGAGATAATTTTAGGAAGATTTAGGTCAAACAAGAATTTTGAAGCATTTTGATTTTTTTTGTATTTAGTATGTGTATATTAACATATTAATATAACGGACTGGGGATGGTTAAAAAAAGAAGATTTAGTGGAACCAATAAAAATGCGTAGTTTGCCTGCTCCGGAAGAATTGCTCAAAATGATTTTTTGCTGATTTNAGTTAACGTTAAATAACGCCAAAACCATAAATATTAGGAAAAAACTATTTGAACCTTTTTTAAAGTACTTTGAAAAACCTTTAAAATGAGCTGTTTTAAAAGTTTTTAGAATAAAAATTAATGGAAATATGAGCGAAATCACATGATGGTCTAATTTTTTTTAAGAGAAATATTTATAAAGAAATCAGTGCCTTTGGGGACAGAATTAAAATTAAATGTAATCCATTTACAGATTTCTTCATTTATGTTCTAAGAATATGTTCTGGGTCTTTGGCTCACTTACAAAGCATGATTTCGAAAAAAACTTAATTTTTGAAAATGTTAATTTTTCAAATTTTTTTAAAAAATTCAATTTTTACGCTGTAACTTATAAATTAAAGGGTGTACGAAAAATATACAAGAGTAAAAAAATGTAGCTTTATTTCTGCTGAAGATTTCTCTAAAATTAATATTAATCGAGATATCGCCATTTTAAGTTATCATATGAATGAGAGAACCACCCTTTTCGAGCCCTTTAAACCCTTAAAACTTAAAAATGAAGTGCTTAAAAAGATCAACCTAACAGTTCACGTAGCCCTTACAATTCCCTGCAAAATGAGCCTTTGTGCAATTAAAAATATTAAAAATTAAGAAATTTATCGTCAAAAAAATAAACACGTGTATAGATAATAATTTTAGGAAAGTTTAGGTCAAACAAGAATTTTTAAGCATTTTGATTTTTTTTGTATTTAGTATGTGTATATTAACATATTAATATAACGGACTGGGGATGGTTAAAAAAAGAAGATTTAGTGGAACCAATAAAAATGCGTAGTTTGCCTGCTCCGGAAGAATTGCTCAAAATGATTTTTTTTTTGATTTTGTGGCTGACGGAAGCCCGGTTTATTTTGAAATTCGACATGTGGAACATGCTCCGGCGACAAGTGCCTAAATTCTCCTCCAATCATCGAAGAGGACGAGCATGATTGTGAAGAGAATATCAGTGACGACGAATAATCATTTACATATAATTATAATCTTTTTTTTTGTATTTATTATTATTAAAAAGGAAAATAAACATTTATAAAATAATCTTCATTTTGTGTGTGTGGGTTGAAAAGTTGCAATCGATAAACAAAATTTTTTAATCAAGAAATCAATTTTAATTTGATAAAAATGAATGATTAAAACGTTTCAAGTTAAAAAATATTTTTTTATATTAAATTTACCCAAAGGGTTGGTTTTTAAAGGTTTTTCCGGGTAGAAAATTTGGGATTCATTAAGTTTCATGTTAGATAGCACATGAAATTACTCATACTGCACAAATAAAAAAGATTTGATTACATAAAATGCTTAAATTTGTATTTTTTTCTTTTTTTTCCAATAAGGGGTGGTTTTCACCCCTTAAGAACAAAAAGCACACCTAGCACATATATAAGTTTTAAAATGGGGGGTAAGATGAGCCTGATTCTAAATTTTCAGAAAAATCGATGCAGTTATAAAAAATTCGGAGCTATTGCTATGTTTTCAGCTACAGTAACTGGGCTAATAGACAACAAAGTGGGTTCGCTTAAAAAAATGTTATATAAACCTAATTGTGTTGATATTTAAGCGTGCTTAGGGGAATTGTCATTTTACAGTGAAATATGACATTGGATATTTTAAATATGTTTAGTTCTGTACACTTTGCTTAATATTGTCCGTCACTTTATTATGTAAGTGCCATGAAATTTTATAAAATTACCAACTACCAATTAAATTTACTGTATTTTGAAAAATATTTACTTATCCTGTAATTTCTATTTATTCCAGCGGATTTTGCCGATTTTTTTTCAACAAATTCTGCGTATAACAGAACTTTTATCCGAAAAATTAAATTAAAAATTTTTTGTATGTGTACGTACACTGATGTAATGCTTGTCGAACGTAAGACAGCACTATATATATTTTTAGTAAATTAGCGTTTTTTTGTCTATGGTCTCTTGTGCTTTATTATTTTTGGTAAGAATCGAAAAATGAAGTATATAAATATTAGTCCGGGAGGCAGCGACAGAAATTTTGCACCAATTCCTACAAAGCTGATTTTTTCTCATTTTGTTGTTTTGATATCGTAAGTAAACGGAACGGCAGTCTACCGCGCCAATGTGGGGGCAAACGTTAGTAACAATTTTTTAAACATGTAAATTAATAATACTTAAATGCCTTATACCTACAAGGCTGAAACTTTTTAGAGTGATCAATTATACCTAAAAATACAGTATAGTGATAGTCTACCGCGTCGGAAGGGGGGCCATCAAGGGTCTACCACCCACGCAAGGTGTTGAAAAATTAACTTTTTTGACTTATTTCTACAAGGCTGATTTTTTTTCTCAAATACTTTAGTTTATAAGAGAACCAAAAAAAAACAGTCTACCGATCATCTAAGGGTGCAAAGCCTTGATAGACGCAATGGAATGCACGATCTCCCGAGCGCAGTCGCTGCGCCGATTCACTGTAAGCCGCTCTGAATAATAACTCATACCGGGATTAAATTACAATCTACAAAGCTGCTTTTTTGTCTATAGATATCTTACAATAATTATTGTCAAATAAACGTCTTATACCTTCGATACGAGGTGGCTAAAGCTTCGGTAGACGTGGCGAAAGTTTTTGCGCGGAAGTTGCTTAAAATTCCAAATTTATTATTAATTACAGTTTTTTGAGCTTACACCATTATTTAAACGTATGATATAGTAACAACGAGCGAGCGTTAGCGAGCGAGATTTTTGCTAGTATAATAGGTATTAACAAAAGTTCAAAAATTTTTTTTTTCAAATAACTGACCTTTTTCTTTTTTAACATTGAATAATTAAATTTATTTCACTTTTACTTATAATTTATAACAATAATACTTTTCGATAATAGCGCGCGAAATGCTTGATTTGCGATTCATCATCACATTCGTCAATTACACTCGTGCGAGAATTATTCTATCGCACTAGTATCGAACAATATTTTACGACACTTATTTATAAAATAAATGATAACAACGCAAATGTTTTTTATTACAACAATATAGTAATTATATAAAAAATAAATATATTTTTCTTATTCCTCATCGCTACTGACATTTGATTCCTCATCGCCTTCCATATCATCACTATCTTCATCCTCATCATCTTTCTGGTCACACACTCCATCATTTTCTTTAAGGTATTGACAACCGTCATTTGCAATTTCTGTATCTGCAAATAGCAATATATTATTAAATATTTATTATATTATGCTAACATAAATTCACCCCCTTTAGGGTCTGAAAGTCATTTTTTAATTGAGTTTTAGACTTCCTTAAAATGCAAATATGTGTACCTGAATCTTTATCGTTCTGTAGATCAAACGTCACATCATCGATTGACTGAGGCAATTGGTCGCCACTAAACCAATTAAAATCATATCTTGCATTCTCATCCACTTTCCAGCCACAGTCGAGTGGGGATAATGTTGTAGGCTCTTTTAAGTGAGCATTACTCCAAATTTGTGCAATATATGCTGTTCGGAGTATGTGTTCTCGGAGCTCTGATTGACAAGGTGGTAAAGCAGATGCATCGAAACTCTTGACCTTTTGACGAAAGATTTTATCGTTAGTAGTTTTGTAAGCTTTCAAAAACATCACTGATCGATGTGACGTTTGATCTACAGAACGATAAAGATTCAGGTACACATATTTGCATTTTAAGGAGGTCTAAAACTCAATTAAAAAATGACTTTCAGACCCTAAAGGGGGTGAATTTATGTTAGCATAATATAATAAATATTTAATAATATATTGCTATTTGCAGATACAGAAATTGCAAATGACGGTTGTCAATACCTTAAAGAAAATGATGGAGTGTGTGACCAGAAAGATGATGAGGATGAAGATAGTGATGATATGGAAGGCGATGAGGAATCAAATGTCAGTAGCGATGAGGAATAAGAAAAATATATTTATTTTTTATATAATTACTATATTGTTGTAATAAAAAACATTTGCGTTGTTATCATTTATTTTATAAATAAGTGTCGTAAAATATTGTTCGATACTAGTGCGATAGAATAATTCTCGCACGAGTGTAATTGACGAATGTGATGATGAATCGCAAATCAAGCATTTCGCGCGCTATTATCGAAAAGTATTATTGTTATAAATTATAAGTAAAAGTGAAATAAATTTAATTATTCAATGTTAAAAAAGAAAAAGGTCAGTTATTTGAAAAAAAAAATTTTTGAACTTTTGTTAATACCTATTATACTAGCAAAAATCTCGCTCGCTAACGCTCGCTCGTTGTTACTATATCATACGTTTAAATAATGGTGTAAGCTCAAAAAATTATAATTAATAATAAATTTGGAATTTTAAGCAACTTCCGCGCAAAAACTTTCGCCACGTCTACCGAAGCTTTAGCCACCTCGTATCGAAGGTATAATACGTTTATTTGACAATAATTATCGTAAGATATCTATAGACAAAAAAGCAGCTTTGTAGATTGTAATTTAATCCCGGTATGAGTTATTATTCAGAGCGGCTTACAGTGAATCGGCGCAGCGACTGCGCTCGGGAGATCGTGCATTCCATTGCGTCTATCAAAGCTTTGCACCCTTAGATGATCGGTAGACTTTTTTTTTTGGTTCTCTTATAAACTAAAGTATTTGAGAAAAAAAATTCAGCCTTGTAGAAATAAGTCAAAAAAGTTAATTTTTCAACACCTTGCGTGGGTGGTAGACCCTTGATGGCCCCCCTTCCGACGCGGTAGACTATCACTATACTGTATTTTTAGGTATAATTGATCACTCTAAAAAGTTTCAGCCTTGTAGGTATAAGGCATTTAAGTATTATTTATTTACATGTTTAAAAAATTGTTACTAACGTTTGCCCCCACATTGGCGCGGTAGACTGCCGTTCCGTTTACTTACGATATCAAAACAACAAAATGAGAAAAAATCAGCTTTGTAGGAATAATTACATCAATAATGTCGCTGCCTCCCGGGCTATATTAATATAGTAATACAGAGAGTTTAAAAGAGCACATTTAAAGTTTTTATTCAAATACATTATTAGGACTATTTTAATTAATTTAAAGCTTCCGTGCTTCCGGTTTCCCCGAAACGCGCCGCAGGCGACGTTTTAAAATTCCTGCCGAATGAAATTTCGCCCGAACCAGTTGAAAACCAGCCCTCATCGAATACCTGTCAGAAATAGGCGCGTACTAACGCTAAATACCGTCCTGGCGGTGCAGCTGTCAACGGGGGGTACGTGTCGAGAGTTTCAATGCCGAGAAAAACAATTTTAGAGAGGTGGGTAGGCCCCGGGAAAGTGGAGAGTCGACGGGGCGGTCCGGTAAGAAAAATATAGAAAGAAAAGTGGCGATATTTCAGCGGATCCGCCATCGACCTAGACCTTGGAGGGATCCTTCAGCTACACGGACGGTTAACGCTCAGTATGGCGCTCCCTGGGTGACGAAACTTACGCCCTGCTTGTGGAAAATAGTCACACGAAATAAGTATTTTTCAATAAGCGGTTTCTATTTGGCGACTACCTGAAAAAGTAGAGTTTAAAAAAGTCACTCAATAACAGCAATTGTACAGGGTGTCCCACTTTTAACACGGGGTGTTCTGAAAGTGCGTCAGGAAACTCCGGAAGGTGATTCTACGGATTAAAATAATAGCAGTACCTATTGAATTTTCGAAACCGAGAGAGTTGTACGAACTAAATTTGTACAGGACATAGCTAATACAATGCGAAACATCGCCGTACTGTTAAAAATGTTGTCACCGCCGTTATTGGTGGTGAAAATTCGAAATATATGGACTTATTCAAATTTAGTAGCTGAAAACATACATAGGTATTGTATTTTTAAAAACCAAGAGTGTTGTACGAAACTAAATTTGTACAGGACATAGCTGACACGATGCGAAACATCACCTTAATGTTAAAAATGTTCTCACCGCCGTTCTTGGTGGTGAAAATTCGAAATATTTGGAATTATTCAAATTTCGTGGGTGAAAACATACATAGGTATTGTATTTTTGAAACCGAGAGTTGTACGAAACTAAATTTGTACAGAACATAGCTAATAGTCCAGACGGTATCTGTTTTATAAAAGGTATACTTGGGTAAAACGCATATGATCGGAGATTTTTGCTTTAACGGCTTCTAAACAACATTAGAAATCATAATTTTTCTATGCAAATAAAAGAAAAACGTGGGCTTAATTGTTATTGCAAAAAAGTATAAAAAAATAGCAAAAAAATTCATTTTTTTTCTTGGATTTCTCGTCGACGACTTAGCAACTATTCATTTTAGACAAAAATGGAAGAGGAAAAAAAGTTTTGTAATTAAATTTTGATCAAGATAGAGTTAGTTGCAATTCGAAAAAATAATTATTGTTATTGCAAAAATCGGAAAAATCATTTACAAAATTGCAAAAAATGCTAGTTTATTTGTCAATTTTTTTCAGACACTTGAATAATACCTAGGATCTTCATACTTTTCCCAATTAAACTTCTTAGTGCATAGAATCATCACACCAAATTTCATCCAATTCGGTTCGATAGTTTTTACATAATAATTGTTTAATTTTTTTTTTTTTTTTTAAATTAAAAAATTTTCAAAATCAAATTTCTAAAAATCTAAAGCCTTTGAATACTTGAAAATTTCACCACAAAAAGAAGAGCTCTCAAGCTTTAAAATGCTTTTTGAAAAATTCAAATCGGACGATTAGGTGAGCCGTGGTGATTGTTTAAACATTTTCGCAATTTTCACGCTTATAAACAATTGCAATAATTTAATGTTTTTTTAATTTTTTTTTTATTTTAAAATATGGTTTGAAAGTACTCGGAAAGACGAGTATTTAAAAAAAAACCTGATGATCCGCCCATTATTTTCGGAGTTATAGCCCGTTAAAGTTAACCCTTATTTACAGCAAAACTATAAGGGTATAAGGGCTGTTTTTTGAACTAATAGGTTTGTCATTCCGAGTACTTTCCAGATATAAATTTTCAAAATTTGCAATCACGGGCGTCCCATTTAAAATGTCACTCAAAGATATTCAAGACCGCGTGAAATCAATGAGGTATCAGTGGTGGGGGGAGCAAACACACAGCTACTCCGATCTGAATTCTCGAGTTCAAAACTGCGACGCTCGGAAAAATTTCACTTATCTCAGCTTCTAATGGACCAATTTCGATGATTTTTTTTTAAATCGATGTCTCGCAACTTAAAAAATTCAATTATCATATTTTCAACTACCTTTTATTATTAATTATTGGACTTTTGACATGCCGATAAACAGTTACTTTAAAAAATGATTAATTTATTATGTTTATTTATTTACTATGTTAATATTCACGACCAAAATTTTTGCATGTTGCACCAGGTAATACTAGTAAGTTTGTTTAAATATTATAAAATTGTTTAAACAATAATTATTTAAATAAACAACTGAAAATTGGTATTAATTTTTAGTTGTACGATAAATTTCTAAAAATCTTTCAAAAAAAAATAAATTGTGAATAATTATAATTTTAATTTTTTCGTTTACTTTTAAAATATTTATCTAAAATTTATTTTTTATTTATAAAAAAAAGTATAAGAATCTTTTGGATACTTAATTAATACCAACAACATGGTGCAACATGCAAAAATTTTGGTCGTGAAAATTAACATAGTAAATAAATAAACATAATAAATTAATCATTTTTTAAAGTAACTGTTTATCGGCATGTCAAAAGTCCAATAATTAATAATAAAATGTAGTTGAAAATATGATAATTGAATTTTTTAGTTGCGAGACATCGATTTAAAAAAAAATCATCGAAATTGGTCCATTAGACGCTGAGATAAGTGAAATTTTTCCGAGTGTCGCAATTTTGAACTCGAGAATTCAGATCGGAGTAGCTGTGTGTTTGCTCCCCCCACCACTGATACCTCATTGATTTCACGCGGTCTTGAATATCTTTGAGTGACATTTTAAATGGGACGCCCGTGATTGCAAATTTTGAAAATTTATATCTGGAAAGTACTCGGAATAACAAACCTATTGGTTCAAAAAACAGCCCTTATAGTTTTGCTGTAAATAAGGGTTAACTTTAACGGGCTATAACTCCGAAAATAATGGGCGGATCATCAGGTTTTTTTTTAAATACTCGCCTTTCCGAGTACTTTCAAACCATATTTTAAAATAAAAAAAAATTTGAAAAAACATTAAATTATTGCAATTGTTTATAAGCGTGAAAATTGCGAAAATGTTTAAACAATCACCACGGCTCACCTAATCGTCCGATTTGAATTTTTCAAAAAGCATTTTAAAGCTTGAGAGCTCTTCTTTTTGTGGTGAAATTTTCAAGTATTCAAAGGCTTTAGATTTTTAGAAATTTGATTTTGAAAATTTTTTAATTTAAAAAAAATAAAAAAATTAAACAATTATTATGTAAAAACTATCGAACCGAATTGGATGAAATTTGGTGTGATGATTCTATGCACTAAGAAGTTTAATTGGGAAAAGTATGAAGATCCTAGGTATTATTCAAGTGTCTGAAAAAAATTGACAAATAAACTAGCATTTTTTGCAATTTTTTAAATGATTTTTCCGATTTTTGCAACAACAATAATTATTTTTTCGAATTGCAACTAACTCT